GCTAGAATAGAGACGTTTTTCTATGTTACACTTGCCTCACCTGGCAGCAATGTGATTAATTCTTACCAACCAATCATCTGGGCTACCGGTCAATATGTATGGTTCACATTCCAGCTAGACCCCTAAGCATTCCTCGAGATTTTCAAGATGAAATGATGAGCTTTTATCTTACATGGCATTTTAAATCGATCAAATACATGAACCGAAGCCAAACCGCATCATGGATAAAGACTCGAGTTCAGCCCCAGATCTCAAAGAGTACGCAGTAGTTCATATGATGTTTGGTTATAGTATGCTAACTTTATTCTTCGTAGGAGACTTCAGGAAGCGTTGGGGAAGCTCGAAAAGATCAAGAATCTGTGTCGCGTTCCATCGATCTCAGTGGGAGTCATACACGAAGGGAACATCGTCTTCCAAGACAGTATCGGCCTACGCGATGTGGAAAATGACCAACGTGCAGATGAGCGAACGGTGCACTTGCTTGCCTCCAGCTCAAAAATGTTCCTCGCCGCAGCCGTCACTATTCTGGTCAGTGAAGGAGTCATGTCGTGGGATGATCCTATTCGGAAGCATGTCCCTGACTTCGATCCGGTCAATGATCCTGACATCGGCGAACATGCCACGATTCGGAATGCCTTGTCTCACACAAGCGGCCTGGGCAAAGCACAGACTGTCTGTTGGGGTCCTAATGGTTGCTCAATAGTTGACGAATCATCATTCATAGAATGTCTCAATCACGCTTCCGCACGCGCCCATGGTGAAGACGTATCGAGATTCCCCAAGAAACAATTTTATTACAACAACCAGGCATATGGAGCCGTGGCTCTTGCTCTGCAGAATTCATGCGGCCGCCGTTACGCAGACTTTGTCAAAGAGCGTATTTTCGACCCTTTAGGAATGAAAGACACCATCACTGATATGGGTGACCTCGAAAACCACCCTAATGCTGCCCACGGCTACGTCACGTTGGAGGATGGCTCCTTTGCCCAGGTCGAATCATCTCTTTTTACCGACAATAAGAACTCGCCGACCCTCGCGGCCGTCGGAATACGGAGCTCTATCAAAGACATGCTCATTTGGTGTGCTGCCCTCCTCAACAGCCAGGGAGAGAATACAATGAACATTCCAGCTGTGCGAGAACTATCGGAAATATGGAAGCCACAAGCGGAGATCATGTCAGGTCTTCTGCAATATTGCCTCGGATGGTATCGAGGCCATCTACCAAGCTACGGACTTGGGGGGATTGGCTTGAATTACAGAACGCGAAATCATGATCTTGATTTCTACGAGAGGGAATACGTGCTTGGTCGTGACAGCCCTCGCTTGGACTTCATCGGCCACTGTGGCAATGCCAGCGGTTTCGCTTCTTCGATTCACGTATTCCCCGCTACATCAAGTGCTATTGTTGCTATGACAAACGGTCTTAATGGTGCCGATGCCGCTGACTTCGCGGTGCAACTCTTTACACAGGCTCTATTTGACCTCAAGCCATCTGTGCAGATCCTTCAACTCGCGGAAGAAGAAATGAAGCACTATCGCTGGTACTACGAAGACATGGTCATGGACTGGCTCAAGTTCCGAGATATCTCGTCTCGTGAGCCCGACGTGAAAGATTTCGTCGGCATTTACAAGGGCTTCGGAATCCACATTGATGTTTTTGTTCGAGAGGAAACAGGCCGACTGGCACTCACCTTCAATTCACTTGAAAAGTCAATGTGCGACCTCGAGTTTTATTCTAAGAACAACAAGTACGAAGTGTACAGTTTCTTCCCATTGAAACGGGACGAATGGCTGTCAAGGGCCATGACTGACTGGGATGACTTTCGAGTGGGACTTTTCTACTTTTCCAGAAAGTCTGACTCTCGCAAGGTCAACTGCTTTGCTTGGCTATACGAGCCCGGGGAGCCGATGGCATGGTTTTATAAAAGCGACGAGCAGTCGAAGCCCAATTCGTCCGAAATGACCGCCCCTTTGCCAATTGGGCCACCCAATAACGAGGCCCGATTGCCCAGGACTAGCGTGCAAGATGGCAAAGGCAGTAGCGATGAGTATGGCACATGGCTGGAAGAATTCAGCGGAGAGTTTCTTTGATTTTCACTAGGAACAATACTGTTTTTACTGATGTCTAAAGTTAGAACGTGCGAAGAATAGAGAAAAGTGGTCGTTTTGGACCGTTCGATTCGAGTTGAAGTAGATGGCTCATATCCTACATAGGCCATTGACCCCAATTCTAAGATATTCCTCATCTTCATCGATCCGCTTCCTGATGTCGCCCTTCTGCAACGCATCTACGTCCCATCCTGCCCAGACAAACCTTCCGTGAAGAAAGGTAGCCTCAGGTGATACGGCCCATACGGAGAAGCCGCCGGCAAGGTCAGCTAGATCATGGATTAGCGTGCGCGACTAGTAAATCCGAATCGAAACCGGAAGAGAGAAAGAGGAGGAGAAAGGGGTGTTGAGGGACAGGCTTACCATCATCCCAAGGGAGTGAACCCTCCGTATGCCCTTTACCCTTGGCGCTCTCGCCTAGAACGGCACCAGGGTGAAAGCTGATGATCTGCATATCATCGGCTTTCACGTCGCGAGCGATGAGCTGCAGGGCTAACTGCGCGGTGTGCTTTGTTAATGGGTAGCCCAGGTGATTGGCTGCTAGGTTAAAGTCGTGACTGGCAGCTGTCGCAACGTAAATTAGGTATTTTCGCTGATTTTAAACGTTAGCTAAGTGTAAACAAGAAAAAGACAAGAGAGTGTAGAGAAGACCAAGACCAAGAACGGATACTACACACTTTCGATGCTTGCTGTCTGTAGAACCGCTCCGTCATTTGCAGCGTCCCGCGCACATTGGCGTCAAACTCCTTCCAAAGCGCACCGCCATCTTGGCCGAATAAGTCGAGGGTAGGTAAGTTAGCCGCGATCGATGCAGCACTTAGTACGAGAACATCAACCAAGATTCCCTCTTTTTGAACCTTTGCCACATCTCGTTTACGGCAGTGGCATCTGAGACGTCATTTCTCAGGGGGATGATCTCCGTTCCGGAATCAGGGACAATTTCTTGTTTTAAGGCCTCGGCGGCGTGTGAGAGGACTTCGGCTCGTCGCCCTGTGATAATCACTCGCGCGGCTGAGGCTCGTACGAAACTGCAAGCGAGAGCATAGCCGATGCCTGTAGCAGCGCCAGTAACTAGTACGGTTCGGCTTGCCTGAGAGAGTTCTGGGCGAGTGGGAGATGTCGCCGGTTAAGAGGATTGGTGGGTGGGTTTGGTGAACTCGGTGTATCTTCCGCAAAACATGGTCGTGTCGTGATGGAGCCGTGTTTGATATATTTCATAGGTTAGGAGCGAATTATATTATGTGACTTGAATCATATAGTGAGAAGCTGGTGCCTTGTTTTGTCTGCTTGAGATATCAAGTCAAGTGGAAAGGGCATCATAACCGTTTATATGTGTTCGGCATCTGCGTTCAGGCAGCTAAGGATCCGTAACGTTTCCTGGCTGTTATGAGCAAGCCACGACGGTAATTACCGTCGTAAACAATTATCACATCGCTCAATACCATGGTCAAAAGCTGGGCTGAGTCAAATATTCGCGTCTAACAGACTGTTTGAAGGTATTATACGGAGATATAACCCCTGTTACGACACCCACACTAGACTCAAAAGAACTGAAAAAGCGTATTCTCGTGGCGTGATTGGTGCATCTCCACCTTTTTGTAAGGATTTTGATCGCTGACGAAGATAGGTTGCATACTTCTAGCATGGGTGAAGTAAAATCACCAGACAATCTGTCGGCCGGGACTCTCGGCCGGGTCGGATCCGGTGACCCAGACTTTATTCCCAGACCAACGAGTCACGCCGGGATCTCCGTCACGAAGCATCACGGATATGTGGGATGACCACAGATTCCCAGGCCCGGTAGCGCCAGTATCATTCGACTGTCCGTCACTGTGGCAAGGTGTTCCATTGATCCGACAATGCTGGTATACTCTGGGTAAAGCCCGGGCTGTCTCGCCCATTGACGGCCGCCGCGAGGCCTCTCATTGGCTGCATCTACTTAGGTACCTAGCCTAGAGGAGACCCTATAGACCAAAATAACAGGCCCCATTTCCCAACAGCACGAGTGGTCTGATGGCTAAGATCACTGGTTCAGACATGGGGCTCCTACCGTACTGATGATAACGAGATACCCCCAGGGTGAAGCATCTAGGCAGGACGATCCCACAAGAAATACCCTACTACATGAAAATGAGGGCGCGTGTAGTTCAGTCGCTGTTAACGGTGGGCCGAGAGCTGAAGCAGGTGTTTATTTTTATATTTTTTTTTATTTACTCGAACACTTCCATCGCCATTTCAAAGTGAAGCGGAGAGGACAAATAAAATAAGAAAAACAGAGTCTCATCCAGGGCTCGAACAGCCACAAGCCTGCCTACTAATCCGAACCTGCTACTGATAACACAGTGCCCGAAAACAGCAGACACAATAAAAATGGATTTCAAAGGGACGATGCCTTGACCATTTCCTGAAATTGACACTGAAATTCTTGGACGACAAGAGATGGTGTTGCTGATATATGTCCCACCGTCTATAGCCTGATGTTTGTCCTATCTACCTAGATAGCGTATGGCTCAATACTGTTTGTACACAGCCGCTTAGCGAAGACACTGCAGTGATTGATCTCGTCGAATTTCATTTTCGACTTCTTCCTTGGTCGTGCTTGTGGTGTTAAATATCAATCCTCACCGGACACGCATCAACCCATAAGTACATACTAACTGTTCCAAATGATGCGAGACCACGGTACATGAACCGATCGAATACCAGAAGTTATTGTGTTACACAGCCCTGTGGAAAAGATCAGGTCAAGTGAACATTAAATGCACCTTCCCGAGTGACTCATCACATATGGCATTGGTAGCAGCTACCAAAGTCAAAAAAACCAAACCACAGCCTGACTGACGTCAAGCACATATTGAACAATGTAGAGATAGTTTTTCCAACAAATCAAAACCGCATTCGTCTAGTGGTTTAGGATACCAGGTTTTCATCTCACTTTGTGATAATTCCCTGGGGGCCGGAGTTCGAACCTCCGATGCGGTGATATTTTTGCAAATTTTTTATGTTTTATTTTATTCCTCTTCTCCTGCACGCTTTGCGTGAGTGAAGCCAAATATATAACAAGTATCTATCTATTTTCCTCCCTACCATCCGGTCTTGATCAATGGATCGTTAAGTGACTGGCATTTTCATTTTTGAAAGGGTCGCATCTTGCTAACATCGACTAGATTTTTGCAATAAATGCGGATAAATCATATTGGAAAAGAAGCATGACTTACAAGTACAGGAAGGGCATTAGAAAATAGTTGTCTGCATTGTAGGCACATAGCTACCTCAATATCTGAATATGTTGCTTGTATGTCACCTTGGACCGAGGACCCCCACAGAGATCAACACAATCATCCCTTCTCAACCATCATCTCTCGTGCCATAATAAACCATATGCCTGTTATGAGAAGCAAACTTGACTTTATTAAAGGGATTGATCAGCTTGTTAAGTTTGCCTGCAGTTTCTTAAGTTCTTTGCCGTGAATACTAGGCATCCAAGGGTCACAGCCAAGCTGACTGTCAAGCATATATGGTTCTAACTTGAAAGAGAAAGTATGGAGAGCATCGATCTCATGCGTCGGTTGGTATAGAATTCTATTCTCTGGCAGTGGAGCTCGTATCTCAGTCTGCCTAGCCTCTCGATACAATTCTGGCAAATTTCTTTTTGACGAGCATGGCGACGGATCGTCTTCCGAACTTGCTGGGTGATCTCTTCCTTCTCGGGAGAGAGATTGACGAATTGGATGGGTGATTTTAGCAGGGGTCTAGAGGAATTCGAAGTATTCGCTGCTTCAATCACATTAGGTTCAACTCATCCGCTGTCGATGAGATACGACATACCACCTCGAGGACGTCCCCTTTTCTAGGGGCTTGGCACTACACCGGTTGAACTGTTCGTGCCGCCCTTGTACCCTACCAACAACGGCGGTTGAGCTGAGGTCACATCTGAATGCGGGTAGAGAGGAAATATCACTTCAGCCATCGTTCCTTTGGGATAAAAATGTTGGAAACGTAATTTCCACGGGAAGTTAAGATATTTTAATCTTCCGAAAGTGGTCGTCCAAAGATCAAGGATGAGTAATGTAGTTCTGGAATACTACCACGTCATCCCCTGTCAATCAATGTGGCCAATCATACGTTGTGAACCCGCCTGCTCTAGGTTAGCCCAACCGGGAAAGCAAGACATTCAGTCGAGTTAGGTAAGGCGCATTCAGCACGGCCAACAAGAGCAGAGCCACCATGGATCACACAACTCCGGTGACCTCAAGGCAATGAGGGCGTTTGAAGGAGCATTTATGAAAGGAGAATTTTTACCCTTCTAAGATGTGACTTAAAGAACGTCAATAAGCCTCCTTTGCTTGTCTCCCAGACGTTTTAATTCTACACTTCTCAATGTTACTACTCAATCACCTTACAAGATGGCTATCTACATCTGGGAAACGACTACAGAAGAGGTTGCGGCTGACTGTCAGAGCTCGCTTTCCGACAAGTCTATTCTAGTGACAGGTGCCTCTCCTTCGGGCCTGGGTGTAACGTTCGCTATCATTGCGGTCAAATACGGCCCGGCATCGATTGAAGACGGGTCAACTTACAATCGCTGGGCGGCTCACGGTCAGGCTAAAACCGCAAACCTACTTTATCATGTGGTGTTAGCGAAGAAGCTAGGTCATCGAAACTTGGTCTCTATATCTCTCCACCCGGGGATCCATCGCCTCGACCCGCCTCATTCAAGATCTCTCTACGGATGATATAAGGGAGTATTGTAAGTGCCTGCCATGTGCTGGTGTATCAACCTAGACTTACTCAACATTTCAGCCGAGATCGACCGTGTCCTTAACATATCAAAGAGTGGAAAGCGCCACACAATTCAAAACGCGGTCTCAGGGAGTGGCAACGTGTATGTTCGCCGCTTTCCACCCCAGCTTGGAGCAGCTTGGTAAGCGCTACCTTGACCGCGGCGTTGATACGAATACCATCAATACTTACTCTGTCTTTTACTTCTGGAGCTGAATGGGTCCTATCTTGTGGATAGTGAAGTCACGGAACCACAGGGTGTTGTCAGCTGGGGGAGAGATCCTGTTGACGCAGAAGGCCTCTGGGAGCTGACGGAGAAACTTGTATAACGGATATTCGAATTCTGAGAGATTTTGAACTTTAGAAGGGCCAAGGAAAAGAATGGATCGGCACCTAAGCATCGGATTTGGATTACAAGCGTGGCTGGTGACAATCATACGATACTGACCCTGTGGCAGGTAGATGATCAAATCGGCGTATTGGCTACTCACCGAATATAAAACCCCTCACAACTTAGCTCCCGCCTTGATAACCCCCCTCGCACCCCCCTTGGAGCCAAACATAGCCCTCAAATCACCCATCAACAAATCCGGGCACTCCCACGCAGCAAAATGCCCCCCTTTCTCATGATCCTTCTCAAAGACGACATTCCCCAGCGCATGTCCCCAATGAGTCGGCAGCACCACCACATCCCTCGGAAACCTCGACAGCCCTACTTTGACATTCTGATACGCCTGCAAATCGTCACCGCTAGAGACCAAGATCCCTTGATCTTGCTTCGCCTTGCGCCAGATCTCCTCCTCGTTACGTCGCGTCTCGTAGTACAGCTGGTGCGCGGAGCGCGGTCCCGCTTCGGAAAACCAGTAGATGGAGACCCAGGTGCAGATCTCGTCGTCGGTCCAGGGGTATGCGTCTGTCCAGTCGATGAGTTTCTCGTAGATCCAGGCCAGGAGCGCCGCGGGCGAGTCAGCGAGGCCGTAGCCTAGGGTTTGGGGTTTGGTGGCTTGGACTGCGGGGGGGCGTTAGTTAGATAGTGCAAGATTCTTGTGGGTTTTATGGAGGGAGATATGAAAAAGACCTTGGCAAAGGGAAACGAGCGGCGGCCGTACTCTGATAATACCCATTCCCCTGATTCCTAAACCATTGCACACGCTCAAAGCCAGCTTTATCTTTTTCTGAGAACCCCGTGACGAACGCCGAGATCATAGTTCGCAATGCCGACGTCGGGTTCCGGAGGAAGCTTGGTTGCGGGTAGTACGCCATGTTGACGTGTTGCGCCTTGATGTATTTGGGCGCAAAGTGACGGCCCATTGCCCGCGTGATCTTTGTTGACGGGTCAGTGAAGATACTTCTTAAATGGCAGATGTAATCAAGGAAAGGGGATAGTCGATTGTGGGCAGGCCGAAGAACGACAGAGCATACGTACCAGATATCCCCAGTCACCGCCTTGCGTGACGTATTCATCATAGCCGAGACGCAACACTATCCAGCTCTCTCAAGTTAGTAATCGGCTCATGCTAGCCCCTATCACTCTTAAAACACTCTATACCTCCAACCAAACCGCGCCGAGTAAGGTCCGACTAGAATAAGGTCCCTTTAGAAGAAGGAGATGCACGACGAAATAAGCAAATAAAGTACTCACTCAACTTATGAAAAGTCTCCGCATGCTGATCAACACCAAACCCAACCCGTTTCGGCGCCTCACTAAACCCATAACCGGGCAAACTCGGCACAACAACGTGGAAAGACTGCTCGCCCTCTCCTCCCTCAGTCAGGCCCCTAATAATCTTCGTCGCCTCCAAAAAGCTCCCCGGCCACCCATGGACGAAAACGAGCGGGATAGCATCTTTCCGCTCACTCTTCACATGAATGAAATGCACGTCTAGCGCCTCGAACCCGGTCGCCGCAATCTTTGTCTTGAACTGCGGGAGTTCATTCAACTTCGCTTCAGCTTGGCGCCAGTTGTAGTTGCTGGCCCAGTAGCTAGTTAAATGCTGGATTTTGGTCAGTGGTGAGCCGAGTAACATCTCGGGCGCGCTGGCCGCTGTCGCGCCGGAGGTCGAGGCCTGGGAGGATTTGGCCGTGGGCGGCATGAAGAGTGATGAGCCGCTTAGGTCAGAGGGCTGGTGCTCGATTGAGCCTGGAAAGCGAGTCTTTTCCAGACGGGACTTTAGGTCCTCCAGGGCCGCGTCCGGGATGGCGATTTTGAAGGGGTGGATCGATTCGTCTGCCATCTTGGATAGTGGCTGTCGCGCTAAATTCTCGGCGCTTTAGAGATTCCGGTGAAATTAAATGAGAGGGACTTCTCTTGTTTGCTACCCGATATTGACTTGTTGTGTGAGTCTAGGTCTGTATCTTCTCCACTGACGTCGAATTGCTCGTCTGGCCTGGAGAAGAAGACTGGCGCGTGAGGATGAGTGAAGTCCTCTCCTTACTTTCACGTCTAATCCTACCGCAAATCCCGACTTCACAGCTATTTAAATTCAAAAAGATGAAGCAGCAGTGTGAAAAATTCGTGGAGATGTTGATAAAGACAATGAAGACGACGACGTGAAGTCACAAGTGAAAGAGAAAACTGGAGTCGAAAATGGCTTGGTGGGTTATAGCTACAGCTACAGCTACGGATATATAGGATAGATAGAGTATGTTGATGAGTTCCGGACCAAATTTCTTAGTTCCTATCCCCGTCCTCTACAGCACAGCGAGCCAACCAATTCCCGGTCCCCCAAGCTCCCGAATCCTACACACCACGCAGAGGGTTCGTTTTACCCCAGCCAGACCCAGTTGAGTGCTAGTTGGCTAGTGAGATCCCCCAATGTATGCCATGCACAATGACGCAGGGAGCCGGGGCACAAATGAAGCTTAGCTTCCCCATGCTTGTTCATCCCAGCGGCATCGACTTACCTCGTTTCAACATAGGGGACAAAATACACCGGCCCTAAGTGGTCTATCAATATTTAGGAGTAGAATTACGAAAGCATATAGACCGACAATCCTTTCTAATTACCATGATTGCGATGCAATTCCCCATTATCCACTAAGCATGATGTGGTCAAAATAGCACGAGCAGCTTGCTCCTCCCATAGCAAGTATGCGGGGTCCCGTCAGAGGCGTTCCAATCCGCAAGAACCCGCCTCTTCCGATCCAATCAGCGTTCTGTATCGCTCCGTCTCCGTCAGTCATCTGCTTCGGAGGGTCGG